AGGAAAAGTTCAAGCAATTATTGAGGAGGCATTAGAAACGTTAGCCACCCATAAATACAGTGCAACTCACTCTCCCTTCATGGCCAAGTTGCTGAGCTCCCGTGTGTTGGAAAAAGTGAAACAGTTAAATATTGAGCGGTACAAAGTCATCTGTTTGACTACTATTGGATCCAAAGCGTCACAGGGATTACGAATCGCCAGCCGCTGCTTGTGGGATGGCCAGTGTGATACTTTTGTAAATGCTTGTTTCGAGGATGAGCGATTTTTCGCCGTTTGCACTGTCTACGGAGTGTATTACGAATAACGTCCAGGCTGCTAAAATAAGATCTGTGTTTTTTTCAGCTAAAACAACGACTTCACAACACTTCAGGATCACTGTTATTTTTAGAGTTGTGATGGCAATCTAACGTTTGAGTGTGTGGACAAAATCTTTTGTGTGTGTGTGGACAAAATCTAGGATATGACACTGTTTAATGGAAAATCAGAAAGGGGCTGATCCAGTTTACTTTATTTTCATTACGTTAAAAGTGTTCGCTTTCGTAACATGAAGCAGTTTTTTGTGTTTGGCTGAATTGACTGATTTGGAGGTGAACGGATTAGTGATAATTATGATCGAATATGAGCTGATAGATTCCCAAGACGGTCGCGGGGATCACTGTCAATCCAAGTAGAGGGGTCATGAGTTCTTACTTATTCAGATCATTTAACAAAATTTGCTAGTTTTAGTACAAGGGGATATTTGGGAGAGGAAACCTAGAAACGATGTTGCCAACACAAATCGGAGAAACTGTAATAAAAAAAATTCTACAAAAACAAAACAAAACACCTTCGAGACTACGAGACAAGACTGGCAGATCCGTGTTTGGAGCAGAAGGGAGTAATTGGAGTTGTGGTGTGAAGCAATAAAAAATTACTTTACAACTGCTTTTTCTTTCTATAAATATTACTGAGAATAAAAGCAACAAATTTAGTTTAAGTAACACTCCCATCTAAAGAAAAATTATCGACAGTGAAATGTTCTAAATAAATTCGGTTATCTCCCTTGTGACTTCATCGTTCACACAATTGTACATCTAGCCGATTTTTTGAAAACCAACCGAACTAACTTTGCCGTCATTTGAGTGAAAAGGCGTCAAAAGGCAGATTTATTGGGCCTGATAAGCTCTAGCCTGCGTGGCCGGCATTCGCTTTCGAACGCCTGCCAGGCAGGCTAGATAAGCTCCAAAGTCACACTAACGCATGGAAAAGGAGAGGAGAATAAGAAAGAAAGAGCGAGGAGGAAGAAAGGAGGAGAAGAGAAAAAAGCAATGATTGCACTCCTAGCTTCTATAATGGCTATTTTGGAGAAAAAAAAACTGTTGGACACAATAGGTCCATTTGGCGGTAACGTTTTCAAAAATCCGGCTAGACATAAAGGAGAAGGAAAACTCAGGAAATCTTCGGAAGCATGCCTATAAAAAGTGCTTCCACAAACGATGGTCTGGAAACACACACACAGGTGACTGACGAGTTTGAAAGAAAATCTGGTAACGGAACCTATCGCCCTTGTTAAACAAATGTGTGAGCTTACTTTTAGTAGACCTACTACAAGTCGACCTCTCATAAGCTCTTAAAAGTGAGCAAAGCGAGCTTCAATGCCAGAGGTCACGCAGCGAGCGACGAAGTCTTGAAAATGGCATAACCAACCAGGAAGAAAAATAAAGGACTTTTAGAAAGTCTAACTTCTAGTTAAAACTAAGTTACCAGCGTGCAACAGCGTTTAGCCCGCGAGCAAGCTCTCAGCGAAGTAAGGCTCGAGAGAAAGTGCGAGCGGGCCGCGTCTCTCTTCGCTTGCGGGCCTCGCGTGACTTCTCTCGACTTCCACCAATAGAGAGCTTGCACGCTTAAATCGCGTTCCTTGCAACCCATAGAGCTTTCGGGTGGACAAAATGCAGTGATTTTGTATGAAATTGTCCGCCCGAGCCCCGTCCTAATTTCTTCATGTTTGCTCACTGGAGCGTGATGTGGGAAAGGTCTATTGGGAGCTTCATCAGCCACGTTTTTGAGGGACGCACGTCCACCGGAAGTGGGCCTTTTTCTCTTTTAATACAGTATGCTTTGACACTACCAAATTTGTATTGCTACGTGTCTTTACTCTTAAAGAGACGATTTGCCCAAGAATTTGTAGAAACTCACGGCCTCACTTCCCGTTTACGTGCGTCGCTCAAAAAAAAATAAACTCCCTATTGTAGCGAGAAATGGAGACCCGTGGATGTCCTCTTTAAAATACACGTTTCGCTGGCCTCGCATTTCACTTTTTTATTTATTTATTTAACCCTCGGAATCCTAATATCAAAATTCAATTTCTCATTTGTTGCCCCTATAGGTTTCCTATAAAAGTAGTGGGGACAAGTTGTTGAATAAGATTCATCTTCTGTGATCATGTCCTCAACTCTCGTGACCACTCTGTTCTCAAGGAAAAATTGGACGCTGATCACTTTTGGGCTTAAAGGGCTTATCTATTTATCTATTTATTGATTTTTTGTACCAAATGTAATTTCTGATCAACGATTTCACCCACCCGAAAACATGGCCCAGTTTAGATTGTTTCGCCCTGGGTTCAACCCTTACTCCCATCCCCTCCGAACTTTTGCTACAACTCCACCCCACCCTAGCCAAAACGAGTTGGCGCGAACACTGCGCGTGGGAAAGTATCCGGGACTTTCGATCACGTTGTCCAAGATGGCGGAAACAGGTGATTGGCAACTTCACTGA